TTCTCATCATCTGTTATACTTGAAATTTTATAACAGAAAGTCCACCAGTGGCCAAGGAATAAAACCGCTGAATACTGTAGTTTGATATGCATTCGAATTCCGGCAAATGGTTGACTGCACAGAAATATACGTATGTGATTTTTTACCCTTGTGTAATATGAATGCATCCCCGTTTCCCTTGGAAGTACTCCATTAAGGCATCTTTTCCTTCATACACATATCTCCGCCAGCTTTGCAGTAGCAAATGATGATAATAATAATAATAGTAATCGAATATAATCCGTACTAGGTGAATGATTTGATCATAACAACGAAGGTATAGAGCACATGGTTGCTGTCCAAGTCCACAAGCAGCTCAGATCTTAGGTACATAATCCTAGTGTTATACTACCACAATCAAATAATCGAATCCATATCAGAAGAAAAACGATATCAAATTTTTTGCACTCTCCAAAAATGATTGTACCGTTTGTTAATGATATTCAATGATAACAACTTCGTAAATCAAGCTAAACTCTGCTACGTTCACACACATTTACGGTTTCGACTATTACGAACAAATTCAAAATATCCTTAGAATTCTCATTTTTGTGACTGCCATTTAATGATTAAGTTAAATTTGAATAATTACCATCTAAAAAGCTACCTTTTCAATAATTTCATCGCGCTTATACAGTTTGTGTTCCATGATCTATCCCTTTACTAATTTAAATTCAACTCAACTATTCTGTGAGAAAGGCTGTACTCATTTATTTCATTATTACAAAGCAGGTGGTGACTGTTGGGTAAAAGAGGCATGACTTGTTAAAGGACTTTCTGAAGAAAATTCATCTAGTATCCACGTAAAATCACTTAAACGCCCCTTGCTGGAACAAAGCTAGAATCCGTATATCTTGATGTCCTCTTTCTTATTAAAATCCATTACGTAATTAAAATTCAAACTTAGAAAGAATTCGTTTGTGTGATGCTTACATGATTAAGTAATAAAACTGCTGACAACATTTTATTTTTATCTATTAGTATGAAATATATTTTAAAAAATAAACTAAAAATGAAATCTTAAAAAATAAATTGTGAGTGAAATTAAGAACTATGGGCTAAATCCTCTTATCGCCATTCTAAGGGGGGGGGGAACTTCACTTTTGCATTAAAAAGAATCTAAGAAAACATTCATTATCAATGGCTTCTTGCAAACGGCAATAATTAGAAAAGCAAAATAAAATCTCATTCACATACCATTTCATTTAGAAGAAAAATAATATGACAAAGGCACTAAAATTACAGAATCAATCATGCCAGGACGAAATGCTTCTTTGCCTGTAACTTTTGACTTAATATGTTTGTTCTCGGTTAAGAAAAGTAGCTCATTCTCTGAAAAAACATTATGTGCATATTAATCCACGTTTATGTATTTTTCGTACCCAAAACTTATGAATAAAATTTTCATTAACTTAAAAATGGCAAGGTTTTAATTAAATTTAAAATTCAAATCAAAAATCCTTGAAACGAAAAGCGGTCATTTAAACTATCCTGCACGCTTACTAGAAGCAAATTCGTCTATTACATTAATAATTCATAAGATCAGGAGCTATGATATTAAGCAGTAATTTAAATTGTATCATTTTCTTTAACTGCTTATGGAAATTCGTCGTTATCAATGTAAATGAATTTTTCTTAAGGTATCAAATTTATGTAAGTTGAAAAGCAAATATCAGTGCCACTCGTTCAAGGAATGGATAGTTTTATTGAAAAAATAAAAGGGTAAGACTCAGTGTCATAAACTTCCACTACCTGCTTCTGTTAAAATATTTTTTAGATCTTGAGAATAAAGGATTTTTTTACTAGACTTAATGTCATTTGATGCAAAAAAGAGCATTTTTTTTTCAACTATTCGTTTCTCCAAAAGCATTTAGGAAATTTAAATTTGACTTAGAACATATTTGAATTACGTATTGTGTTACATGTTTGAATAATGTTCAATAATGATCAATTGTTTTTATTTTGTTTGTTTATTTATTGACACCACGATACCTTGCAGTAACTTATACAGTGCAGATACATGTGTTGGCATGTTTTTAGAAATAGGCAGAATTAGACCTTTTAAAGCTCCACACTAGGAATAAAGAATATGCACGTTAGGGTAATTTACAGACGCTGTTTACACATTTTTAGAACGATTTCTGGGCCTTTGAATAATATTTAAAAATGTAAAGAATATTTTTATATGTTTGATCTGAAAGCTTTGTTCTGTACTGTATCGTGATTTCCATGGCTTTTTGCAAAATTTCCAGGGCTGTTGATTTCCAGTCCTCTTCCATTACGTTCCAGAGTTCATCAATTGTGGTGCGTTTGCAATTAGAAAGAACTCTTTTCAAGAGACTAGAGACCCATAGTTCATAGACGAAAAGTCAGGGAACTTCACAAGAATACACTTAAAAGATATATATAATACCTGTATCAGTCTTCATTTTTTCGGAGAATTCGTAATGGTACTTTTCGAAGTATGATTTATTGCTCTGACTTGATGTAGTTTCACTTTTTGAAAGTGGCTGAGATAAAGAAATGGAATTCCTCCTGTAAATATCAGACATAAAATTTTCTGTCGATAGTTGATTTTAGCATTTTTTTCACGCTTCTTATTTATTAATTTCCTATTATAAGAGAATCCTGCGAACGATCATAAACACCTTACTGAAACTTTCTTTGCGCTGATAGAATTAGGTTTGTAAACTTTTTCTATTTGTTAGGCCCACCAGTGGCCGAGCGGTAAAGTCGCTGAACACTGGTAGTTCGGTCCGAGGTTAGAATCCCGCGAGGAGCTAGCTGAGTGGGCGTTTTCCTGGTTTTCCCATGTATACCGTGTATAGGAGCCAGTTTCTCTTAAAACGTCCTCCACGAAGGCATCCCTCCTCTTAGGCAGATAGCCCTCGAGGCTTTGCCATAATCACACACACACATTCTTTTCTATTTGTTTCCTATAATAAACAGCCTAATTTTTGTTGCAGTCAATTAGGTAAACTCATGCTTCATCAAAGGTCAACCAGATTTGTAAATTTTTTTATCTCTGGGTTTTCGATAATAAATAGATCTTTCTTTGCTGTCTCATTTAAAAGTTTTTGCTGATTTTGGTTTTGTTGAATCCATGATTTATCAAGGATCACAATATATTTCCATCTATCTTCCGCTAAATAATTTTCATTTCATATAATTTCTACAACCTGTTCCGCGATGAGCCACATGCCTTGACGAAACATGATCATGTTCAAGCATCATGAACAAGCATCATGTTCTTTAGCCTTTTTAAGTTGTAAATCTCGGTTTATTATTTTATTTATCGTTGTTGCACATGTATTTAGAATAAAGGATTCTTTTACTAGACTTAATGTCATTTGATGCAAAAAAGAGCATTTTTTTTCAACTATTCGTTTCTCCAAAAGCATTTAGGAAATTTAAATTTGATCAATTTAATAATTGATTTCTACTTCGGGTGACTTCCTCTTGTTTCCAATGATTTAACTTTAGAAGCATTAGAAACAGTATATTTCGATCATTCGTTTGGATACTTCTTTCCATGCAGAAGCACTGATTGGCAGGTTTTCCTTTTCTGATTAATAATAATATTTATTTCGCACTTCGAAATTTTAATATCATACATTTCACAACGTTTTTGAATTATGGAATAGGAATATTTGTCTTCGGAAAGAGCAAACTTATATCCTTCAGTCCACAGCTTGTTTACATGCGACATTTTGAAAGAATAGTAAATTTAAAAGTAGCTGACGCTATTTCTAATTTCAAATAATAAGTTCCTGCCAGAAATCTTTATTTCCAATTCTTTATTTAAATCGTTCTAAAAATATGTGAACAACCTTGGTATTTGAAAATGGCGAAGCACACTAGTTCTGTCTGCCTAAGCGGAGGGATGAATTCGTGGAGAACTGTCAAAGAGCATCTGACTTGTATTCGCATTACGCATGGGGAAAACCAACTTCGCAGTCAGCCCATTTGCTTGGGTTCAAACTATTAATATAGTTTAACTATCTTAACTACTCGGATGTTAGTGGAGCTGTAAATAAATTATATGTAACTGTTACAAATTAGAAATGAGAAATATATTTTTCAAGATTAATATATAGTTAATTATTTGAATATAATGATTTGGAAGTAGTAATAAAAAAGGATAATTATAATCGAAATAAAATTTCAACCAAATGTGTTTACTCTTTGACATATTTAAAGATGAAATACGCCGCGTAGCGCATTTACTTGAAACGTACATGCTTGATCTAGGGTTATACAGAAAAAATTATCAATTTTCGAATGGATGCACCATTAGCTAAGTGGAGTTTCTATCCTCGCGATTGTTTCTTTAAATATTACCTTAAGAGAAGTATACCTTAAAAGAAGAACGTTTTCTATGACCTAAAACCACGTATAATTAGGCACTTATAACAAAGAAAGGCACAAACAGGTTCGTGGAAAAATTATATAGTATAGCTACACAATAATTTTTCATTGCTTTTTTAATATCTTTTCTCTTCATGAGTGTATTATGTACTCGTATGAACAAGTAATCGTTACTCCTGAGTGAACGTTCCTTAAAATGGATTGTTAGAAATCGAGAAAATATGTTTCTTCGAAAGAGAGGATGCGATTTTTAGCCCAAAGGGCATTATCCCAGAAAGCCAATTAATTCCGTTTTGGCATTTTCTGGCGTTTCGCTATAAACAGTGGACAAAAATTGTTTATTTCAACGGGCCAACAATCGTGCATTCTTGACTTTTCACACCGAATGAATTCATATTCTCAAAATATATGATCATAACGCATATTTATTTTTTCAAATTATAGTGCTTAAAAATGAATAATCTGAATGGTATAGAGCCGTGTTATGAAAATGAAATGATGTACATTAATATATATTAATTATCATTTAAATACTTTAAATAATAATACTCAGTGTAATCTTAGAATCCTTAAAGTGTCCTTTTGTTTTGCAGAACTGGACCAAATTCCTGGAGAGACGCTTTGACCCCAACACAAATCTTGACAAAGTTGTGCCAAGGAAACCAATTGGACGGTCCACATATCACGGAACACTATATCCGTATCGGAAATGTTATATATGATTTCGATAATAAACCTGGAGGTATGTTTCCATAAAGAAATTTATACACCTACAAATAATTATTTTAAAATATACTAAAATATGAATGTATAAAGTATTAATATAATTGTTATGCTTAAAATGTACACCAGGACTCGCTCTTTTTTTAAATACACATATATTTCTTCGGACGATCATAGTGCTTTTTCTAATAAATTTCTAAGTGGAAATTTTAGCATTTCAAACATTTAAGAAAAAACTTTGATTTTATTTTTCCATAGTTTACGTTTTTAGTAATATGGGCCATTTTCTATAAGGGATAAAATAAATCACCTGTCTATAACACAAACCTAACATGCTGTGATTTTTAAATCATTTTCCTTCTGTTGTAAAACATGAAACATTTTCCAATGAAAACTTTTTCCTCGAAACGTCCATCCTAATTTAATCATAGCAATAATCAAATTTTATTAAACTGCTTATCATTGGCATTCCAATCCCCATTCAGATCCGGATGCTAGTTTCTCTTACAAAGGCCACCATGAAAACATCCCATCCGTTAAGGGACAGCCCTCGCGGACTTTGCCTTAATTAGTTAACAACCAGTCAGTTATTGATATATGATTTTCAAGTCTTAATTAACTGATTAAGTTAACTAATTAAGTCTTATATGGAACGTGTACGGATTGGTTATTTTGAATGTGTGATGAAATTATTGTCTGATCGAAAACTAAAGTTGAGTACCTTAAGAAAATTTTTCAAATATCGTATTTTTTTATATTTTTATGTTAAAATTGGGTTTTTTTTGTAAGCATCTTAAATTGATGTAAAAACTCGCTCTAAAAAATTCGCATTTATGGTAAAAAATAATTCTAAGCTTTTTGCAATAGGGTTGATAATTTCTTTACATTTCCATTTCATCAAATTACTTATTTTAAATCCCCTGAATTACACATAAAATGGATTTGTATACAGTTTTATATAAACATAAAATTACACATAATAGAAAAGTTAACTTATTGAGATATCTATCTCTCTATATATTAATTTTAAGAAAATATTGCGCATACAAGATTCCAGAGTAACTTTTTTTCAGTTAAAATTTGATAAAAATGTGTATTTCTTACTTGCATGCATGATTTCTCTGAACTGCTTGATTAGAATTTTATAAAGTGTCGCGAACTGTATAAACACTATATTTATATTTTTCTGACATGAGAACTTTATGAACTATAATTAAATTTAAAATCGTAAGAAAATTTCAAATCGTCATTTTTCGTTGTAAAATAATGACGACTTCGTGTGCAATATTGGTTTTTGTATACAACTACGCATACTTGCAACTTTTAACTAGTAAATGTATATTTATCTTTCTTTATTAGTATTAAGAAACTAATGAGCATTTACATGATGTGGTGATAACTGCATCTTTAAGTTAAGATTTCTCAAAAATTTATCTTCCTACTTGACAGCATGATTTCTCTGAAAACTTTGGACAGAATTTAAAAATATTTTAACTAGGTGTGTTAAATTTTATTTAAAAAATCTGATGTGGACGCCACATGACTTCCTTATGCGGCCTATTAAATTACACACGTTTTTGCTGCACTTCATTTAAACTTAGTTCCTCGAATTTCTTAAGAGATATATTTCTCATTCAATCAGTTCAATTCTTATTTCGTGGCAAGGCAAAAATGCGTGAAATCTCAAAACATCTTCATTAAAAATTGTAAAATACAGAAAGACGTAAAACACCAAATACAGTTCAAAACAGCTGAAGAAAATTTTTGAAGTAAAAATTCTGGAAGGGGGGGGGGAATTCGACAAACGGGTATAAAGACGCCTTTTCGGTGCACAAAACTGATAGTTAAAATTTTTTCCGTCTGGGCAAAAGGACAGTGAAGTTGGTGCACCACCAACTGCTACTTAATTCACCATTCTACTGAGAGTTTCAAAATGTAAACAAATGCGGCTTCATTATACCTAGCGACATTTAAACTTTTAGGTTGTTGGTAATTTTACAACTGCTGCATGCAGATTACCTAAAGGCATAAAAATCTTAACCAGAACATAAGAACAACATAATTCAATCATTTTTAAAGCAAAAAGACACAATTTACTAACATGTAAAAATAAAAAAGAGCTCACGGAGTCGGATAAGAGGGAGAACATATACAGTGGGTACATGTTAGTTCGGCCGATTGCAACCAAAAAGGGAGGTGCACAACTAGATGTTATAGCAGTCCTAAATACAAAATTTAAACGTTCTACGGCTAACCATTTTCGAATTATGCGAAATACATACATACGTACGTACAGACACCACGAAAAAATATCTTCTGAAACCATTTCAATTCCATTTTACAATCCGTTTTGGAAAAAATAGTCCTTTATTCTGTTCATACGTACAGATATAATGCAGAAACATCATCCAAATGAATTCGAGAATACTCAAAAGGGATATTTTCGTTGAGATATGACACATGAAATTTTTCGAGATTCCAATAATTCCTTTACTTCATACAAGGAAGTAAAAATGCTAGCGCATTCGAATAATATAAGAATAAAACGCAATTATTACTTTATTGAAAATTATTTTTTCTTTCAAACTAAGATTTCTTTTTAGCCTAATTTTAAATACCTTTTAATTGCCGTGAAAATCGAATATTTTTAAAGCACTTCCATATACGTATTAACGAAACTAAACACAAAATTTAAATTTTATATATTATGTAATTTTAATAATAGATAAACATATTTTAAGATTAACAATATAATTTGTTTTTTAATCTTGTTTATTAACGAAACTGCAATAAAACATAGTTTTATTCAAGCGAAATTGAAATTTAAATAACTAAAATTTAATAATTGAAGAATTCAGTATTTATAAATGTTGATTATGTTATTTGAGTGGCTATAAATATATTAAAATAATAGTCAATTGTTATGGTAATTTCATTTTACGACCGAGGATAACATTTTATTTGATTTGGTCTTTGAGAAATAATGTCCTTATGAATATATATAAATTTAAATTTAGAGAAGTGTGATAAATAGTAATCAGTACATTTTTGAACGGAGTGAAACGAAAATTTTTAAATATCTTCTCAGAAAGAAGAATGGACAATAATTTTATCTTGCTGCACTTTTGAAATAAATATTCTATATAATGGATTACGTATGAAAGTTATTTACATTCCAATAATTTGCACAGGCCTGAGCATTTTTGAATGACCACATCTCTGATTGGAAATATTTAATTAACTCTTTTATCCTGGCATGGTTTCCGCAATTAAGAACCGTGTGAATATCGGACAGAGGATATAATTAATTGTCTGGATCCGCATGAATGAGATCTTTTGCTGTACCTCCGTATAGCTTTTAAGCTCTGTACGCCAGTGCTTCAGATTTTTTTTGTTATTTCTATCCACACTAAGTCCTGAAAATGACATCTAATTCATTGTAGGGTGACCTTGAACCACATAATTAATTTATTTCGGTTACTTATTACTTTTTTTAGCATGTTTTCCTTGTTCCAGATGACGAGTCAACAGTGGAGAACATGGCTTTGCTGCTTTTGCACAAATGGCAAGACATCTCACCTGGAAAGTACTCCTTGACACCAGAACACGTGGAAACCAGAACTCTGTACCACCCTTCAAAACCCGGTGAACCGCAGGTGCTGCTTGTTTTTTAATTTTATTTCTGCTATTATTTCCATCCGGTCGCTTCAAATCGCTGAGCCAGCCAACATTTGGTTTCTACAAGAGTAACTGTATTCCCGTTCTGTTATTTCATTACAATTCCTTTAGTTTGAACAGGTAGACAGCTCTCATGGGCTTTGCCGTAGTCAAATAATCTAACCTTGAATTTGAAATGAAAGGTCTATTCTGATTCGTAATTTTTTTTAATATGTTTTCATTCACCATTAAATTTTCATTCCCGAGGTTTTCAAAAAATTGCATATTTTCACAAGTTCAGTACATTTTACCAAGTTTCATTACATTTAAATTTTATTACAAGCTATTGAAAAATAAAAACAAAATTAAAAATCGAATATTTTTTAAAGTAACAAAATTAAAAATCATTAAATGAATTTTAAAAAAATTAGTTAAAAATTTTGGAATTTTGAATAGTTTAATTTATACATTAATAATACCTTTTATGTTCACGAAACTTTTATATTCTTAAATCAAAATATTTATTTTAAAGACGCTCTTTATCATTTTTTTCTTGTAACAACCACACAAGCTACAAAATGACTGCGAATATCTATTTTTCTTTCCCTGTGTTTACAAAATGCGTATCTTTTACAGAAATTTCTTATTTCGTGCATTAGAATTCTTTCTTACATACTTTTTAATTTTTCAAGGAAAGTATTTACTTACATTTCTTTGTTAGTGGTGGCCAATTTGTGTACACTCAAGAGCCAATTCAATAATGTCTTTGGCTTTTGAGCCGCACAGTATATTATGTTTAATCAATATTTAAAAACTTTTCTTGAAATGATAAACAGCAGTTATTTCAAGATTCTTGTGTTAGTAATTTCAAATTTTTTTTGTAAGCAGTCTTGCAAGTAGAACAACACGGAGACCAAAGGTAAGCAAGCTTACGAAAAAAAATGCAAGAGTATCATCGGAAACAGACTTTTCAAGAAAAATATTTACGAGCTAAACACGTAATGCTAGTTAAGGCAGACGCGCTGTGGACCTTCGTGCAAAATAACTAAACAGCAGCTGATTAACGGAGCCACATTAGGCTACGGCCCCGCGTACCAAACACAACCTTCTTTAAATTATTAATTAATTTTTAAAACACAGGAATCGCGCACTATGTTTCTAGATTAGATATTCTCAAAAGTTCAAGTGTGGTGGGCTTCATAAATTCTCACCTGTCATCAAAGTCGGATATCGTCGATTTTGTTGATATTTAATTCCTAGAGATAGTTTTTTGATAATTGAAGGCATTAAAAGACATGCACATTCAGAAATGTATAGGTTATGATAATAAATTTTGTTAATTTCGCACTCGGCGGCTTGCTGCCAGTGAGCCATCGGTTAAACATCACAGTTCATATGACACTGAGTAAAATCTATTAAGAGTTCTTCTAAAAACATCGCCTGATCTTCGACAAAGCATTGCAGCTACTTTTGTTCAAAATTATATGATAATTTAAGCTATGAACGTTCAGGAGACCATAACAAATGAACCATTGGAATACATATTGCTGCTGTGTTTGTACTGTATGTACTCATGTTACCTACACTTATTCTATATGTAGATAAAATGATGTGTTCCATCAGAGAATTATTATGTCAAGTTTCTTCTTTAACAGTCTAAATTTTTTGATTCCATCATTACAATGAATGATAAATATGTATTAACATTCAACGTTTCCCAGAAATTCCGAAATATGTAGATATTAAAGAATAAGAATGCTTTCATGATTTCAAAGGATAGGGTGAAAATTATCCAAAATAAAACTAGTAAAGGAATTCTTGCCAATTCAGCAGTGCTATTTATTTTTGTGAATGACGTTGACGATTGTTTTAAAATAAAAAATTCTTCTTTCTTTATCGTAGTAACAGACCGCATATATTTCCCTTTCTGCATGGGTTTATTTTCTGTGCAAAAAATCTGCTTAAATAAGCGAGACAAATTTCCGCATAAAAACCATGACACCTTTTACTTTATTCGATAAAATTTCATTTGATATGCAGTGTGTGTTATTGAGCATTTATCTAATTGTGCACATTATATGAAGTCCAGAATGTGAGTTATTAAGAATTTTAAATAAAGTTAAAAAATGTTAAATCTACACGAAATTGTAAATAAAGAAATTAAATAAAATTTTTATCAAATATTTATTACTGATAAGTATTATTACACCAATTAACTTCATATAGGAATAATAAACGTATTGACACTGAAAGAAGACATATCAAGAATGACTGAATGGTAATGAAATTTTCTTTAATATTGTTAGTCGAGTAATTAGAGAGATAATGCATTTTTTAAACAAAAAAGAAAAATAATTAAAATTTAAAAATAGTAAAGCAACTTTCAGAGTGACAGGATAAATACAAAAATAAATAAATAAATAAAAATAAATGTTTCATTAAAATAATTAATAGAAAACGATATAAAGGCGGCAGCTTCTGAGTCTATCACCAGCAAAAGGCTTCCCAAATTATATTATTTGCGATCTAAATACACAGATCATTTATAGGGCAGACATGTATCACGCAGAGTGCTGAGAAGTGGAGAATTTAAGAAACCACTTTGAATATAATATCATAAAGCTACAACTCAATAAATCAAAAAAATATACTAATAGACACCCATTTAAAGTGGTTTTTCAATCTCCCTCCCCCTCAAAAAATATTAAGTAATTGAACATTTAATTACGCTCACAAGTGGCCAAGAAAATAGCGCAGCTGAATACTAGTACTTCTACTAGGTTCGAATTCCGGTGAACCAGCTGTCTACCATTCGTGTTTTCGTGGTTTTCTCATATGTAAACGTGACTGCAAGCCACTTTTCCTTAACATTCTCCCAGAAAGGCATCTTTTGCCCTTTGGTAGACAGTCCATGTGCGCTTTGCCTCAATCAGTTAATCAACCAACCTTAACTTTAACGAAGTTAATATTTGGTAACTTAAAACTAAATAAATTAAAAGAATTTATTAAAATCTTTCACTGAAGATTTTTTTAAATATTGCATATCGCTAATGAAGGAAAATTTAGAGACTGAGATCAACTCATTTCTTTCGGGAAAGAACGCTCTGCAAAGGACACTGTGCTTCCGTATTTCTTAATGAGTAATAATCTCTTTATTTACATCCACTATTGACCGATTAATAGATTAGACCACTAGTCACCGATAATTCTTCTTCTTGTTGTTTCCGACGGTCAAGCTGATTACATGAATTTCTGCAATTTCCCATGTGCAATATTTATGTGAACCTCTAGAAAATTCTCAGAGGCAGTAAATCTCTCTTGTTTGTCATAATTTTAATACACCAAGCGACTAGTCATCTACGATTCATTATGTTTGAATGTGCTGCATTTTATAAAGAGCAGTATTAGCTATTTAGTTTGTAATTACTCGGCTTCTTTTTTCTTATATAGAGAATCATTCTCATTAAAAGTTAGTTTCAGAATGTTCTTTCCCATTCAGCAATTAATTTTGTTATGCTACAAATTTCTTCCTAAAATTATTTATTAACAGGGGCAACTTCTCATGTGGTTGGATATGTTTGAAGAAGACACTGTACCTCCAAGTATTCCGAGAGATATATCAATTCGAAAGCCAGAGAGGTAGAGTATAGAAGTCGAGCAAGAATTCAAAGAAACATCTTTATCGAAATAAAACGTAACTTTCCATGAAAAATGCTGCGATTTTTTAAAGAACCTTTTCAATTAAATTTGGTATTTTTTCAATAAATAACATACTTACTGAGCAATACTTAACAGAATTAGTAACAGAATCGATCAGTACTTTAATTTTGAATTAGTTTTTATTTCATCTATTTTAGAATATTTTGTATAATACTTGCCATCAAAGATTGAATTAAACCAACCTTTGCAAGGTATTTAATTTTCATTCATCAATCAATTAACGGATGGTGAAATCTATAGTATGGTTCTAGATCCAGAAAATACCACTTCCTATAGTGAAGAAAGTGACAGAGAGGTTATTGAAAACGAAAAAATTTCGATTGACAAGTTAGTCGGTATTCTCGGCACAGCAATTACAGGACTTGAACAGCGGAACTTTGTAACTGAACAAGAAATTATGTCTGTTTATAGAATTAAAGAGAAAGTATTAGCATATAAAACGAAGCAACTTAAGCAATTTACATTGAAAAGAAATGTTTAATAAAGTAAACAAATAAATATTAAAGCTTTTGTTTTGTAAATTTTGATACCCTTTAGATCATAATTGCTCTTTATTTCATAAATTACGGTTTCATATTTTAAATTTTATTATTTCTGCATGCCATCTTATCAGATTTAAACTGATGATCTATAATCCGGAAAAACCCCTAATCCGGAATCACCGAAGTCCCGACGAGTCCGGATTAAAGACTTTGTACTGTATATGAAATTTTACTTTCCTATCAGGAGTAAAGGAAGTATTGTAATATCAGAAAATTTCGAGTATCTTATTTCAACGAAAATATCCACTTTGGCTGCTCTCGAATCCATGTAGACTTATTTTTTTGTGTGACATCTGTGGGTATGGACAGAATAAAGGACTCTTTTCCCCAAAACGGATTGTAAAGGGGATTCAGAAGGGATTTTATATGTATGTATGTATCTCTCATAACTCAAAAAGATTTAGCCGTAGAACGTTGAAATTATGTATGTGGGACTGCTGCAACATTCAATTGTGGTCATCCCTTTTTTCATTGCAATCGGCCACTTATGTTCGGTTTAAGGTTTTTATGTCTTAACTTCATCTGCAGGAAATACATGTAGAATTATCAACAATTTAAAAGTTTAAGGTGACACTAGGCCTAACATGGCCGCCATTTGTTTACACTTGAAACTCTTAAGAGAACGGTGAATTAAGTCGGTTGGTGCACCAACTTCAGTGTCTTTTGGCACAATGGGAACAAAAGTTGACAATTTTACATAAAAAATTTTGGCTTCCTGCCCGCTGGCTGAATTGCTTGTTTTTGCGTAGAAAGCCTAAATTTAATTGCATTTTTTTTTTTTTTTTTACTGTTTTTAATTGTATTTGGTGATTTAGGTTTTTCTGTATTTTACAATTTTTAATGGTGTTTTTTAACTTTTCATGCGTTTTTGCTTTGCCGCGAAGTGAGAAATGAACTGATTGAATGAGAAGTCTATCTCTAATGCTGTTATCACATCTATAGACGCGCGCGCTTACCCGGGACAATTCCGAGAAACGAGATTCTAGTAGTACGGCTTTAAGCGGCAGGCTTCCGAGAAATGTTTCGTCTAACTAGGAGGAACCTGTCCCGGCTACGAGCAACATTTTAAAACTTTTCCCAAAATGTTCCGGCTGGAGACGTGTTCCTCGAACGTTCAACCAATCAGACGAAAGGTCAGCTTCTGAAGGATCAAGGGTAACTTTCAATATGGCGATGGCTCTCACTGTGAAGTGATGGACGGTGGAAATAGAGGCCGAATTAATTATTGCTGTTTTGTTGTAATGCAACTGCCTGAGTCATTTTTTAAATGTGTATATATTCATTAAATATATAATCGTGGAAATTTCAGAGTTGACAGTATTTTACGACGTTCTTGCATTTCGGATTTGTTTACAAATTGTTCGTAGCCAAAAGTTCGCCAAATTTGTCGTATTTCGTGCTGATCGTGTATTATAACACTGTTATATAATAGAATTTTATTTCTTAAATTTGAATAATTTTTTTAAAATCCGTTTGTATATGCGCGGAACTGCATAATCAGTGACACATTTTAAACAGCATAAAAGATGCATAAAAAAGAAAAGCATAGCTTATGTAATAATGAGAATACTCGTTAAATTTGTCTATTATTTTCATGTTATTAATGAAATACTTTTTGAATTATAAATACATTAGAAACTATACTTTTATTGTAAATGCTACATATTGAAACATTGAAAATTTATGGATTTATTATTATGCATGATGAAAAACATTTGTATATACATTCATTAATATAAATCTTATTCATTACATTAATACTAATAAATATATATTAACAACTTTTAAAACATTGCACCTCTCTATCTGTATGTAAATATATGACTTATGTGTATATATATATATGTATGTATGAATACAAAAATGAACATCGCCAAGAAGTTTATTTGAAGTTACTTTTAATTCAGATAACGATTATGTAATTGGCAGCAACTATAGTTATCAGTTCTTTGCAAATTATTATGGGTATATAATAATCAGTTGAAAAATAATTGATGAGTATTTGAGTACTAAAGAGTGTACACATTTTGTTATTGGGTAAATTCATAATTATATCATACGTATGATCTACGTAATAAAAACATGACTAATAAATAATAAGAAATGTAACAGCTGTGCATTTATAACATTTGATTACTTTAAAACAGTGCACATCTGATTATCACCTTCATGTCTGTTTACATAATGAATTGCACTTTCCAATTAAGTGCACGGGCCTACTAGTGGCCGAAGCGTCGTTGAACACTGGTAGTTCTGTGTCTCAGGTTAGAATGCCGCGAACGGGCTGGCTACATGACGTTTCCTTAATTTGCCCCATTTGTAAGTGGTATACGAGCCAGTTTTAAAAAATCTTCTACAAAGGGATCCCTCCTGTTGTTATCCCTCGAGGCTTTGCGGTAATCACATAAAACCAACTGAGCCCACCAGCGGCCGAGCGGTAAAGTCGCTGAACACTGGTAGTTCGGTCCGAGGTTCGAATCCCACGAACGGGCTGGCTGCATGGACGCTTTCGTGGTTTTCCCCATGTGTAACGTGTATACGAGCCAGTTTCCCTTAGAAAGTCCTCCCCGAAGGCATCCCTTCCCTTAGGCAGATAGCCCTAGTGTGCTTTGCTGTAATCTCAATAAACCAAACCATAAAACAAACTCATGATGTGAACACCTAATTTCTAGAGTTGGTATAGTTAATGTGTTTTAGGTATATTACCGAGTGTTCTATTGGACAGTAAACAACTCGCACATGTTTGATTGCTCATGTATTCATATGCATTATTTGATCTTCATTTTGCTGAATAGTATCTGCTGGCTGTGAGGAGGTAAATATCAGCCATATAGATTTTTGTCATTTGAATGGACAGAACAGTAATTATGAGCCATAAAGTTAGTCAGAAAATGCTTTCACCAGGTCACAAATTTTCCAGTGAGCCATCAAATTTTCATTGAAATGCAGACAACAGAAAATACACATAAGCGATGTGTGATAAATAGACTTATCCAGCACATGTTTTTAAACTATTCTTAGGTGTATACAGAATTTGGCTATTACTGATGTAATTGATTGCTATAACCAGAAGTGTGTTTATCTGTTACATGAAGTGCCAGAGTGGAGATCAAAGTGACTAACTTGATAGCAATCACCTTTCTATTATCTTCCATTACTAACAATAAAGTTTAAAACAAAAAACGTGTGAGCGATACAAAACAACACGAAGAAGCGAATGTCACTTGAAAGGAAACGTCACTTTCGCCAATCTGAGCGATAACTGATTCTTGTTTGGCTTCCAGCCTGTTTGCCAAGTGAAGATGGTAACCCTATTTCGCCAAAGGCCGTTTCTCAGAACTGTTGCTACAAACGTTTTGTCCCGGCAACAAACAGCTGATGTGATAACGGCTTAACGAAACTCGAGAAAATGAGTTTAAATGAAGTGTAGCAAAAAATCTGTATAATTTAATAGGTCGTACAAGAAAGTCATGAAGGCTTCCACATCAGATTTTTTATGGTACTGAGTTTTGTCTCTTTGCTTTTCATAATTAAGTACCTTGATGTACAATCAAATAACATATATTTTAAATAATGTACAAATCTCAGTTTTTAAATGAAAAAGATCAACGGTTTAGGTAATAAAGTGACTACTACTGACAGCTGTTGTGGAGCATGTAAAAAAGAAGTTCCCCAAAGCGATAAATTTTCATAATTCTCATAGTTTTATCCACAACAAGAAGTTCATTTCTGTACATCGTTATTTAGTTTTAATCTTTTTAATAATTTTGTATTGTCATTAGAGATTTTTATTAAGGAAGTAATTTCAACTTTAAACATATTTATTTAGGAATTAAAATACAATGGGTTATTTTGAAAATCTGCATTTCTATTAATAAAAGCTTACAGTAACTATTAACTTCGATCGTTTTACCGAAGCTGTCAAAGGCCCTTGTGAAAACTAGTCATTTTATAAACATTTATGCCATTACGGTAAATAATAGTTTTGGGGAGAAAAAAAATTAAAACGTTTATTTTGTATTCATGTAATATGTGGGATTAGATTATTTTTTATTAATTGGAGTAATGTTGAAATGTACTTAGAAGTTCTGTTGAATAAATTATGATTATATCGACAAATTTAAAAGTTAAAATATACGTTGTCAAAAAGTAATGAAGTGTTTAGAGTCAAACCAGAGTTTGTTTTAGAGTACAATAATGGTCGAACCAATTATTGTACTTCCTAGCAATAAGTGCGGTTTTAACTCCAAGGCTAATATGTCAATCTGTTTTTCAGCCACAGAACTAGTCGGTTTCCGAACTGTCACATCCTTACCTATCTATTTGTACAAATTTTTAGCTGTTAATTTTGAAAGAAGTTTAAATTCGTGGAACATGAACATCCTCATTTGTTTAAATGTCAATGTCCTCCCAGCCCACACCACGATATATTTTTTATAAAACAAGCATAGAAATTTCTGGATAGTTGCAGAAAACGTTTAAAAAACATCATAGTTTGAATTGGATATCTTAATATTTAGAATGACTGTTAGTAATGTATGAATATCCCTCGTAAACGTTATTTCGTTACAGTTTCGAGCTTCGTGTCATCATATGGAACACAGATGAAGTAATTCTAGCAGATGATGCCTTCTTCACTGGAGAAAAGATGTCTGATATTTATGTTAAAGGGTGAGTAGAATGTATTTATAGATATTAAGTTCCTCAGGTTACTCAAGTTTCTTCGCAATTATTTTGTAATCACCGTAAAAACGTTTAAGAATATGCGCTAAAAGCAAACAACAAGAAAATTTTAGAAAAATGTCAACATTTTTCTTTTTATTAGGTGAAATGTTTATTGGTTCTTAACTCTTGATCTAGATATCAGAGAATCTCGATCAGGTTAAAGAATTTCATTATGGTCAAGAGCTTTAAAAGTGCTTCTTTGTTGGCCTTAGGCATTTTATACATGAGTCCGACTTTTGCTCAGACGCGATCCAATCTTGATGGAAAACAAACTTATAGACGAATCCTAAGGTTCACACCCGCTTTTTCCCTACCAGTACAACCAGAAATGCTAATCACTATACCAATCAGGGTAGTGGATATGTTTATTGTTCTAGTGTTCCTTTGAAAATTATGCACAGCTATGTTTTGAATAGTTTAATCTTTCCCTTAATAAATAAGTTCCAAAGCATTTGTTTGTAACGGAATAATGTCGCAGGAAGCTTTTCCTCCATCTACAGTTTCACACAATTACTTTTATCAAAAAATTAGTTGCACATGTACGATTAAAAGTTTCCATCACTTGAATTCCTGGAAATCTTAAATTAGTAGATCTGCCATAAGTATTTAATCCGAAAGTGTTTCAGGTAATAAAACAGAATCTAAATGAGAAAATCAGATCGCATTTTTTAAAAATTTGCGTGTTTTTTAATTTTTTTCTTTATGTATTATTATGATTATTTGAAATTTTTAATAAAAAATTACTTTGTAGAGTTAAAATTAGGCAAAACAGCAACCTTGCTGTAACCTTAGATTTTAAGCAAAACTCTATCAGTTTCGAGAGGCTGATCAGACGCAATCTCCTCTTTTTTAAGAGTAAAAAGAATTCATGCAATTCTGAGCAGAATGCTTTTGCTTCTGAAATACAAGGATCTGAGTCTGATCGCCATCGAAAACGGTAGAGATTTATTTAAAAATCTATGCCTAAATAAGGTTGCTGTTTTGCTTAATTTAAAGTTTTTATATTGGCGTTTTTCTCTATTTATTTAATCTTTGGGGGTCTTAGATTAAAATCCGGAGTTTTCCGATTGGAGTTCTTTTGTCCCCTTTCCCCTCTTATTTCATGCCTCCACAGGACAGGTTATAAATGTGCTTATTAATGAGCCTCTCTCGTCGGAGCATGTGCAATAAAACACAATTCCAGTCAGAAATTTGGCAACAGCTTTGGCAGTGGCAAAAATGTCAATGGCAATTATTATCGTGATTGTTTGTTTTTATGTCCAGAATATGCATTTTTTTTTTTTCAAATCTGAGCGTCAGTGACAATCAGAGCACCAATGAGTGGTTTTTTTAAGCTTGTTTCCATGTTATATCGTTAAAAATTAACTAAACATAGGCATTCAATATTAATAATTAAATAAATACTGAATAAGAAACCTTAAATTGTCCTTAGCATATCTGATCATCTTATTCCATATTGTATAGTTGTATGGTAAACTAATTTTAAGCAAAATTCCAGCTTTAAACTAAATTCAGGTAACTGACATTATCATTAATCAGATAACATTTGCCGTTTTCGTGGTTATTCGCACTCTGACGAAACTGGTGACTTTGTAAACTTTGCTACTGTTAAACTCCATGATGCAAGCTCGAAAAACACCGAAACCAAAGCAATTCTATAATGTTGAAACAGGAGACTAGATAATCTGAAAGTACCTATTTATTTAAATTTATTCATTTTATTTGCTCACATCCGTTTCAAATTTCAATACATCCAGCATAACATCCAGCAACTGCCTTCGCCGGTAATCGAACCACGGACTTCTGGAATACCGGCCCAGCGTGCAGAACCACTACACCACGAAGGCACGCTAGGAAAGCGGGAGAAATACCTTATATACCCCCCTTTTTAAAGAACGATTGATGTTTTTTGAGGACCCAATCGCCAAATCCTAGGTGTGGAGAATCCTCATCCACCACTCTTTTAGTTCGGGTGCCACTGTAGAGACATTAGGATTAATTTTGGAAGCCGGAGAGATGAAAAATTAGCAACTGCCTTCACCGGGAATCGAACCACGGACCTCTGGAATACCGGCTCAGCGTGCAGAACCACTACACCACGAAGGCAAGCTAGGAAAGCGGGAGAAATACCTTATACATTAAATACTACATGTTTAGTTGAAGTTTATAACCTTATGAACAAATGTAAGTTTTGACGCAAAACCTGTCCTTTTCATGGATATGCAGATGCTGACATATGCCATTTAAGGTACTTCCCCCCCCCAAAGCATGACAATGACATATATTAGAAGACTTTTTTTTTTAATGTTACGCATCTCTTGTATTTTCAGATGGCTAACTGGAAAGGAAAAGGCCCAGACCACGGATGTGCATTACAGGTACGTTTCGCAGCTGCTTCAAAAATAATCAGTATTCAGGGAATGAAAAATGTCCTTCCATACTTTTTTCCTTTCGTCCTTTTCCCCTCATATTTTTAAGCGATTCCATATTCATAAAACACTCGAACTCGAAAAAAATTTTATCCTACGGAAATCTGCGTCACGAAAAACCTGTTCGTTTAAACTGTTTGATAAAAAAAGAAAAAAAAAAGAAAAAAAGGAATTTCGAAAACTGTTGTAGAATCGTTTGTGTTGGATGTGTCAACTTCCTGTTTCATGATGGAATTTGCTTTTCCCACCATCAGCAACGATGACCGTTAATCAGGCCGAGGGTTACACGTGCTGAGTTTTGCTTCAAAAAGTGAAAAAAATCACTTTCACAAAGCTTCAAATTCGTTGTAGAGAGAAGTTTATTATCGAATAATGAAGAATCTGTAGGAGAGACTTACAGCTACCAAATTACATTTCTTTACCCTAACACGTGCATATCGAAACCCAATTTTTGAATTTCGAATTTGGTTTTGATTTAATTCATGTTTTGTACGAATTTAATGAATTTTTGACTAACAAACTAAACGAAACTCAGTCTCAGCAACGGCAATAGCCTTGAAATAAAAGATTTTTATCAACTTTTGACAGTTGCCATTCGACAAAATGTAAAGCTCTTTCAATTTTAATCGATAAACTCGGCTTTTAAAAACAATGTGTTGTCACTGGTTGAAATAAAACACTTTTATTTTCTACTCGCCAGCACGTTGCTTTTGGCAACCTGTTAAATATGTAACTTTCAAAATTGTCTCCTATTGGTTAAAAATAAAGTAGTTTAAAAGCCATAAAGTGCTCTTAAGAATAATTTTTCTTCTTTTATGAATAATTTTTCAGCTTTTTAATCTGATTGACTTCAGAAAAATGCTTTTAAATCGTGAGATCTTATTAGAGGTATTAAATATTTTTGTGAAAACATACTAGCTGGACTCATTAAAATCTTTATACATGTTTCCTTTATTATGATTATTATTTTAAGCGGCTAAATAAACAAATAATATAATCCATGTCTTTTAAAATGAGTTATTAAGCCACTGTTATACAATTAAAAGTATGTTATCGACTCATAATAATATTATATAAACTATTTTTTCCTTCTGTAATTGTCTTTAAATGTTGGTAAGGGGTAAATTTTATAATTTACTTACATTCGTAGATTCGCAATTTTTTTTTTAAATTTCCAAAATTGTATATACATATATATATATATATCAAACGTTGAGTGTTCTAATATTCACTTAGTTATATATTGGGTCGTGAAGCAGTACAAAAAAAAATCATTGAAGCATAATAAACACTATTTTGTCCTATTATTTTTGGTTATCTCTTTGGCAGCTAGGAAAAAAAATATTGAGTTGTTAGGTTTTTATTTGTTAAAAAGCCTTCGAGGTTCTGTTTGACACTCTTCAAAAAAGTGAACTCCCGACCATTCGGAGAATTCTGAAGTGCCCTGGAATGATGAAAGTAAATATGGGAAAATGACATAAAACATCTTAGTTATATTCAATAAATCGTAACTTTCATCGAAATGTCCGACTGAGCATGGGTGTTATCATGATATTAGAAATATTCTGAAACATATCAAATCGTTAATTAGATGCTTTAATAGTACTCGATAATCTAATTTGGTAAGCGTTTTCCAACTTCATGGAGGAATTTGGCAAAGCAAGATTTTAGTGCCGGCTGTACAATTAGCTTCAAACCTCTTCTTTTTTTTTTTTTTTTTTTTTTTTTTTTTTTTTGTGTGTGTGTGTGTGTGTTTGTTTGAAATGTTACCATCAAATTTTAAAGCCAGGTTTATTTTTTTAAGAAATATGAAGGGAATATAAAATAAAAGTAGGGCATTACAAGTAAAAGAATATCGTCACCAAATGTCATTGCCATATATTATTTTTAAAGAAATAATATAGCGAATGTAAAAAAATGTATGGCAGTATTTTTACCACTCTATCAGGAATTCTAAACATATATGTAAGATATTTAATTTTTCTTTTAAATTTAATCTGCTTATTATCGATTAACAAACCAAATGGTTTAAAATCATGCAGTTCTTTATCTCTTTTATTAATTACCAGGCGATCCGTGAAATGACACTAGCTGAATGTACTACAATCATCAGATGTATTTGTTTCTTTTTATCGTAATTGCATTAGGCGACTTGCCGAACCAGCGGCTAGCTGTTAAAAAAGTGAAACGACCACAAAAAACTAATTCGCCGCAAAGGTTCAAAAATAATATAAAGTTGCATCGACAATTCTAAATATATGCTATCTATAAAAATTTTTATGATTCTGCTTTTGATTTTTATGTGGTGTGAGTGCAAAGAACGTGATGAAGTGAACTTTAATAATGAAATTAAAAAGATAACAAAAAATATTGTGTTAGCAAGCGTGAGTCAAAGGGAACAAAGTTAACAGCAGGTTTAGCAGGAGTGAGTCCAATAAGCTGCAAGCTTAACGAGAGCACAAAATTCTTTAACGAATCCTCTGTTTCGACGTTACAATCTGCATCCTTTCAGGTTTTCTTCTCCCCGCCATTTTTGTTTTATTTTTTGTTTATGTGCTTAATTCTCTTTTCCCTTCCACTGCTTCTGCCAGCCTTCACCAGAAAGCATATTATTTTGATTTTAAATAGCAAGCGGATTCATAATTTAGATGGAGTACTTGCAAAAACTTGAGGTATTCATCCATCTAGCTGACCATCCATCTAGCTGACCGTAACTAATCTTTGAGTGTCATTTTCATCTTAAGCATATCCTTGAGAACGGGTTTGCTGCATGAAGTTTTCGTGATTTTCATCTTTTGTAAAATAAACGTGAACCATTTTGGTTTGACAATCCATCACGACGGCATACTTTCCTTAGACAGATATGTCTGGCATGCTATGTCTTGAAGACAGCAAATTCCATAAAATATGCATTTAGATACAGGAAAAATGTTGAAGTTAATTTCAGTATGATTATATCCATTGATTAAATTTGTAAAATTGATTAAATTTGTAAATGGTGCGCACTTTAGTTTTTAGTAATATAGAACTCATTCTTAGGCATCTTTTAGATATCACTGTCTTGCAAATTCAACCTTATTTTGCACAGAGCAAAATAACGTCAACGAATTTTCATGTGTTATCAGGTAATATGAACATTTTCTCTCCGCAAAACCTTTTATTACGTAATGACTAGAGTACAATTTTTCTACAGAGAGCAAAAGATTTTATCAGACAACGAAATGGCAACTAAATGAAGCAGACATCACATAACTGTACTTTTGAATCTTCAACAACAAATCATTAAACTTCTTTGTTTTAGAACTGCGTGATCAGCATGACAGGCATGAAGAACAAACCTGCTAATTGTCCCATTCGCATTTGCGGTATTCATATTCTTGATCATTCCTATTCATCGAATGGAATGGTTAGAAGTTTATTCCGTAAGTAATTGCTTTTATAATTATAATGAATACTTCGTAAACTTCCATGGTTTTCATTTATAATAGATAGGTCTCAAAGCTTTCGTTGTATGCATTATCAGCTACCTCGCATAAGAGTCAATTAAGTGGTCTAACTGTTGGAAGGTTAACGAGGTTTAAGCCTTTAATTTCCCTTCCTAGAAACTTCCGTAAATTAAAAAATTTCGTCCAAGAAAAATCTTTTAACCCTAAAAAATTTGAAAATGATTTTAGTTTAATTTATGATTGAATTTTATGTTAAAAAGGGAAATTGCATATTTGTGCCCTTACTTTTTTAACAATGCTAGCTACTAGCACGGTCAAAAGCTTAAAATAGTTATTATAAAAAAGAAAAAATGGTGTCATTTTACGGATGCAGTTAGTACTTAATAATAATAGCGATGGAATATTGCGTTTATTGCTTTTAAATCGCCTAGTTTGTTCATCAATAATAAACACATTAAATATCTTGCGCTTTGTGGAATGGCAACACACTGGCGCGTGGAAGAGGAAAATATTTTATATCAGGCTATGGTAACACATTTCTGTTAAATCGCTGAGTTTTCCGATTAAATTTAAGAAATGAATATGTTACGCTTTGCCGAATGGCAACACAATTTTTTTAAATCGCGAGTTTGCTAATTAAATTTAAAAATTATGAAAGATAACGTTTTACCGAATGGCGACACAGTACTTTTAAGTTGTAGAGTTTGTTGATCGAAAAGTTATGTAGGGGACAGAAAACAGGATTAATTCATGTTATGATATTAAAATTAGCACAAAAATAATTTATAAATAACACTTTACTTTTATTTTCAATTAAATATAATAACTCCGGTTAGTTATGATAGCTAAATCATCACTCAATGAAAAGAGAGCCCACCAGCGGCCGTGCGGTAAAGTCGCTGAACACTGGTAGTTCGGTCCGAGGTTCGAATCCCGCGAACGGGCTGGCTGCATGGGTGTTTTCGTGGTTTTCCCCATGTGTAACGTGTATACGAGCCAGTTTCCCTTAGAAAGTCCTCCACGAAGGCATTCCTCCCCTTAGGCAGATAGCCCTAGTGTGCTTTGCCATAATTAAATATACCAACACCAATGAAAAGACTAATGTAAATACTGGAATAACTGAATAACTGTAAATAACTGGAAAATAATTATTAGAAAAGAAGAGGCTAAGTTATAAATGATACCAAAGAATAAAATTTACAAGAGAACTCTTCAAACTCCAGTAAAAAAATCGATTAGAAATTTTCGTTTTTTTGGCAGAGTTTGTAAGGAAATATCCTATTCCCTCGAGCGTATTCTGGTAATGTAGGTATTTATCACATACAGCTAAGACTGAATGATCCATAGTTCAAATTTCGGCCTAGCTAGATTAGAAGATCCGTGATTCGATTCTCCGCGATTTTTCATAATCTTCACTCCGAAAAACCTATTATAAGTTTTTCTGGCAGGCATCATTTACTGTCTCTGTAGTAATCTCACTCATTTTTCGTTGATAAGTAATTTTTCCATTGTTGCTCAGCTTAACTTTCTTTCCTAATAGGACCCAGCTAATCGTCCCCAGGACAGTGCGCATTAAATATTCAAAACAACAATTGTTTTTTAAATATTTCGAAAAAGTGTCATTTTTTCCATTGCGGAAATTTCATCTCCTTCAAAAATAGAAATTGTTGTTCGCCAGCTAGAAATGCATGTTTAATATGCCGTCACAACCTATTTTGTGAAAATGGGCGCAGCTCTGACTTGGACAGTTAAATATCCTTTTATAACACTTGAACAACTAAGTTTTTTAATTTAAATAAAAACAAATGTCTTCATATGGCATTAATTCATTATAGAAAAATATTATATATAAGCTAATAGAGAAAAAATAAATCTTCATGCACATATTACTACAGTTTGGCTTAAATTATATATTTTTTCTTAATATCCTCAATTTCGTGCAGGTCTCTGACGGGCGAAGGTAATTTTAACTGGCGTTTCATTTTTTCTTTCGATTATTTGGAAGTGGAGGGCAAAATGTTGGTGATGAAGAAAGTGTCTCTTTTCTCGTGGGACGAAACAGAATTCAAGATACCGCCCAAGCTTGAAATCGAAGTTTGGGATGCCGACCATTTTTCACCAGATGATCATCTAGGTGAGGCTTGAATCTAAAATATCTTTATAAATACTTTTACAGAATACGAACAGCAATAACAACGCAAACGCACAGCTTAATGCAATGTATTTTTAAACCTAAACTCCTTGGAAAATTTCATAAAATCTCTGGAAATGTCATTATTTTTTCCCAATAAGAATTCTAGATGAAATTTAAATATGCAATAAAAACTACACTACCGTTGCACCAATACCCGAATTGTTAAGTTTGTTACATATTGGTAGCCCGATTCGAATCCGAATCTAAGCAAGTAGATATTATATATGAGCAGATATTGTATATAGATGTTATATATGAGTGTTTTGGGGGTTTCCCTTACGTGTAAGTTTAATACAAGCCAGTTTCCTCTAATAATTCCTCCACGAATACACTCCTCTCATTAGGCAGCTGCCCTTGTGTGATTTGCCGTATTCTAATAACCTAGGGAAACGAAATCTAACTTTTCAGAAGACCACCAACAGTTCTTGACGAGGCTTTTTGTGAAGGAGGTCGCTTTAGAATGGTGATGGTCAGTACCAATGTTTGTTTATAGTAGTCTAAAAATACTATTTATTTCCAAAGATATCTTCTACAGAAGTTAGTTACATAGGCAACCAACTTCTGTAGAAGTGGATTTATTGTATTATAATCATTATTTTCAAAGTGCGTTTTATTTGAGCTTATAGCTCAAATAAAATTTTAAATCAAAGCAGTATAAGTTTTGTCTTTGAACTGTATGCGCGGCTGGAGAAGTAGTTAAAAACACTCAGCTCTTACAAATATGGGCTCATTTTCTCTATAAATAAATTTGGAAGTGGTGTCGAAAATTACAAACCATTGTAGGTGTTATCAAAACATTTTAACTCCTACCTTGTATACATGAAGCCAATAGTCTCAAACTAGCGATCCTCAAAACAATTTTAAACGGCCCGAGAATACATTTCATTTACGTATTTGTTGCATGTATTTTGTTGCAAAGATTTCAAGGTTCTAGTTATTTCAAGTCAGAGTTTGCATTATTTTTGTTAGCATTGAAGACAACCATGAATAACGCACCAGAAATATAAACGCAACTGTTTAATTTGCAGTGTGATATATATTTTATTCAAAGATTTGAAGATGCATATTTATTAGTTGTTATTCGTACTTATAAAAAAATAAATAATCTCATTTACGAACTTTTGCACTTTTCTTGGGAATGTATTTATGTGTGAAAAGCTTTTTTTCGAAGTTGAAAATTAATAAGAAAAGAACCCGATTGACCGATGAGCATCTACAATTCTTAATGAAGATAATTTCTGGCACTTACATTCCAAGGCGTCAAACTTTATCTGATTGAAAACTTCATTAAGTGTAGTAAGAGATAAAAAGTTTATAGTTATTTATATACAAACATTATTTATACTTCGAACGTAAGTTTAATTTATAAAAGAGGTAGACTAGATTGCTATTATTTATTCTCAAATTTAGTTCCACGTGGAAAATTTTCTCCAAAAATTTAGAAAGTTTTCATAAATTATTTATTTTTAGTGCCATTAAATTAAATTGTTTAATGATTAATTAAACATGTTAGAATTATTTGTAATAAATTTCAGTCTGAAAACTTAATGTTTATATTCCGGTATATTTGAATTACAAATTGTAACAAACAAAAATGTCTTGCAAGTTCCAGACTTTAGATTTTATGCAGAAAAATAAATATCTGAATTTTTGCTTTTGAGATATAATTATCATTGTTTATGTATGTTTTGATAAATATCTAGGGAGTGAAATTTAAAAGTTATTTTAAATGTTTTTTAATTTTGTTAATAAAAATATTGCGATAATATACGATTCTTAATGAGAAATTTTCATTTTGGTTAAAAAAAAAAAATTCCGGACTTTCAGCTGTTTTCAGGTAGAGCATTTGGCTCGCACCCAGTTTGAGTTTGAGATCACTACACTAAAAGAATCCGTTCATTCTTAATTCTCTTTCTTACTGACAAACTTGCGTAACTTTTTTTTTTTTTTTTTGCCGTTTTCGTTGTCATGCATTTCGAAGCATGTCCTGATCTTGCTAATCCTCGTCCGAAAATAGCAATGACGATAAATCTATCACCTCTTCATAATTCAACGAGCAAATGCCTCGATCAGTGTTTTAAAACTGAGGTATGTGAACCAGATTAAGTATTTTGACCTTTCAATTCTCCCGTACACTAGCAGGATTACAGGTATTACAAAAGCAAATTTGTGGCTTTGATCATAAAGTGTGAGCAAGATGTTCTCTTTAAACAATTCTTGTGATAATTTAAATGTCAGCTTTCATGATATATGATACTCTAGAAAACGTAATCTCAGAAAAGTAGAGAATTTGCTGATCCGCGCATTTAATAGTTTACTATTTTATAGATATAATTTTATCTAAATTCTTTTTTTCTCTAATGCTTAAAATTTCTTATTTAAGATCTTACCAGGCTACTTATATTTCGTGTGTTTTTTCATATCAAATTAACAGTAAAGAATGTTCGACAAAAATTTTGTGATAATTCATTTATTGGGCAATCCATCAAACTGCTAACGCACTCCTAGAATTTTTAGGCTTATCAACGTAAAAATATTGTCAACGTGAAAATATCCTTCTATAATATCTATTTAAAAACTGCTTGAAGAAAATAGACTATTCGTCTTCCAGTTGTTTCCCGTCAGGTTTCAAAGAACTGGATATTTTTAGGACTGCATATATACACTCTCAGACATGAAAATCAACACACTTAGACCAAATAATTCAATTATAATGAAACTTTATAGGGCAATACCTTTCAATTTAACATGTAAAAAATTAAATTTTAATGTGAAACGAATGAACAGCAAGAGCTGAGCCCATCGGAACTGACCGAACGGTATAATAACTACAGAAACTCGACTTTAAAAGAGAAACTTCCATTAGATTTTGATTTCTACTCTTCACTCCGACTGAAAGAATGCCTTTCCGATGAGTTCCCGCTCACTATAAGGATATGTTACAATTTAAAACAGGCTGTACCATCGGACTGAAAGCAGCTGGAGGAGAAAACGATAGGCATAGAAACAGAACAACAGCAAAATTTCACATCAGAAAGATAGCGGCCGTACTAGGGTGACTCCAAGAAGGCAAAACAGAGTATCATCAGAATGGCTATCACATTTGTACCAATTATGTGACATGTGGTTTACGCAGATATAACCACAGGATATAGACAAGGGATTCAGAGAGCGAAATCTATGCTCGAGCTGTCCATTGACTGCTTACCTCTGCAATACCACACTGTCAAACGCATTTGTAGTGATGATGGGAATTAAATTTATTGCAGACGAATTCAATGACGAGTGCCTTTTTAAACTGAGTCCTGATGATCAGCACAGACGTCTGAGACGTCACGTGACCTTCAAGATTTTGTAATTCCAAATTATTACAAAATTATTCGAAAATTATTTGGAATTTCGTGATTACTCAATGATCGCAGATTCTATCCCTTACGGTTAACAATGTTTTTTTCCCTCATATGCAGATGATATGGACTTGTAAATACTTTTTCTATCTTTTTCACTACTTTGTACTACATTTTTCAGCATCATTTATAATTTTAGCAGCTTATTTTATTCTTAACTGCATTATGCGGAATTACTCTGTAGTGATGCTTTACAATGACGTAAGATAACACATCTCGCTGAAATATCTTGCACAGATTGAAAAACGCCTCTTTCTTTTACTAATTTCGATTACTCTCTGAGAATGAATTTTATGTAATTAATTAATCCCTTAATGTCCTGGCAAAGGCTACTTTAGTTGCTCAAAGCCAGTATAAATCGTGTTTAAAGACATTCAGGACAGTGGCCAAATCCTACCGTTACTGTCGTACGACCTACAAGCCGGTAACAAGAAGATGGGGAGGGTTTTCAAACATTTCCTTGGTCAGTTAAATCACCACATCATTTCTCCACCATAAAACGCATTTGTAGGCTAATGAATAAGCGCCTCCAGCATCCCAAAATGTCAGCAAATCAACCGAACAATTTAAGACAATTTAACATGATATCCTGCAGAGCAACCATCTGTCATTTTTTATTAATCAGATTCAACCCAGATAACAGCTTGTAATCAGACTTTTAAAGGTCAATCAGCGCGTCACTGATTTGCTGATTTTGTGTAGTCTTTCTGATAACTAAGCCATCCAATTTTCCACAAAATGTAATTATTTCTTGTTCCGTACATGTTAATTTTTGTATTTAAACCTTTCCGGCACGGTATCTTTTAAAGTTGGAATTTTGATTTAAAAAAAAGGGGGTGAGGCAGTCTAATTAGGCCTAGAAAAGTACACAAGTAAAATTTTGTGAAGATAGCACTTATCGTTTTAATTCTGTGGGTGTGCCGAAAGTGAAACACTGATTGAATAGAGCTTCGAAAAGAGTGCTGAAATGAGCATTGTTGTCAATGAACTGAAAACAAAGAATACAGACTCTCAGTTGTCCTAGATTATCGGTGAGCCCGGACTGGGCACACCTAGGGTTCGCCTTTTGGTTTTAGGCAAGATTTCAAGGTAAAAATTTATAAATAATATAGAATAAGGAGATTAGCATACAGCCAAAAAAATAACATAGAAATTTCTTTTCAAACAATTCCTCTTATACTCTAAAAAAATCTGGAAGATTTCTTTGAAAAATGAGGGTCTTAAAAAACTAAACATGGCTAAAATATATGGACTGGTTTGCGTTGAGCTGCCATCTACTATAAATAAAGAAGGTTCAGAGTAACCTATAATAACCTATAAATCCTTTTTCATTCAATTTTTCTGTGCGTACAGAAGGAAATATTTAGGTGTGTCCAGACCGGACACACTGTACCGCAAAGGGTTAATGAATAATTCCTGCTTGATAAGTCCATTTTTATATTTTAGAGTTTATATAAAATATAGCTTTAAAACAGGCTTTCGTTGTAATGTACATATGATGCCTTTATCTTTTATGAACACTGCCTAAGTTAATGAACGAAAGAAATTATGGTCGTATAATGTAGCGATTTTGTCGGGAATTGCGGGATTAATATTAAGCCAAGAAATTCCTTACAATGGTTTTGTGAAAATAACATTTATTATACTAAAAACCACTAAGAAACAGTAAAGGGTCGGTTACATTTTCAATATCGACGACAAAGTCCAAAATATTCAGACCGATATTGCTTTGAGTTAAAGAAGTCATGATTATAAACCCTTTCTATAATTGCAATATCGGTCTTACGATCATGAATTTTGTATAAAATCTGAACTAATGTTGGTGTTACCTCACTACGGAAGATTTTTTTAGCTGTTCTAATTGTATCATAAATTTGACAATGACTGAGAATGAAATTATGCAGCAGGTGTAAGTTAACATTCAAAACGCCAATGATCAACGGAAATTTGATAGAGCGTGGTCAGTTCTTGCTATTAAATCAATGTACATGTAATCAAAAATGTCTTTATGTAAAACGTATATTAGGAAGATAAATTATTTAGCTGGGAAGGCTTAATTCCCTAAACAAGATAGCGAAAAAAGTACTACTGCGATAAAAAAAAAAAAAGTATCGGAAATGATTCCATAAAATACAAGATTACAGTTCATTGAACAATACTTATTATCTCGTTCAAAGCAACCCTCTACAACTGCAAATCACTTACACTAACTCTCTTCCCCCAGTTCTTGAAACGTGGCTCAAAGTCGTCTTCCTGAAACCATTTCAAGACTCCTAGAGAATTTTATTTTATTGCGTCGATAGACTCAAAATCTATGAGGCTGCGATTTAAATCGTGTAAATAAGAAAAAATCGTATGATGCTATTTTAAGTGAATTCGAAGCTGACAAAGACGTATCTGTTGAAATTTTGGCAAACAATTTACGAACAACAAGAACATTGTGAGCAGTAGTATTATCGTGATACAAAATTCATGAGTCATCTTACCATAATTCAGGCCATTTTCTATGAATTGCTTCATGCAAATGTCTCTAAAACTCAAATAACGTTCTTTGCTTAAATAATATTCCTCAACTCAAAAATTGCTCGAATAATATTTTCAAATAACAGTTTGACCAATTTGTAGAAATTAGTGATGCACTATACCACGACGGTCGAAGAAATTGATTTCTGACCCGAATAATGCACGACTTTTCGATTTTTATGCATTTTTCAAGTACTATTTATTTGACTATCAAGTTGTTTTTGTATCAGATGCGTAAATGCGTGTTCTGGCAATAATGTATTTTAAGACGGACTTGCTTTCAGAAAGCATCTCATGAGCCACTAGAATGCGTTTATATTTTTAGAAAAACTTCAGCATTTTTGAATAACTGGACTATAGCGATGCACCGCAAGTCCAAAAGATCTCTGACAATTACTTGATATGATCCAAATGGCAGGGACATGATCAGAAATATTCATAATTGTTAAATGATGATCTAAGCAATGAATGATGGATTTAAATGGCGTTGCTCAGTATCTGAGGTGGATGTCCTACCAAAGGGTTGTGCATGTAAGAGGCAGTTCCTGCTATCTTTAAACATTTTGTATCACTCAAAAACAATTTTTTATACATAGTTTTATCTTGTAAATGCCTCTTGTAACATTTGAAGAGTTTGTGTAACAGAAATTCCCCTGCAAAAGCAGAATGTAATGCCTGTTCTTTGCTCACTTGTGTTCGCAATTTTGAAAAATCGCCGAAGCACAGAACTCTTCATTTCTTAAAAACGAATTCCTTTGCAGACATTAAAAGAAAAATATGGATTGTTGCCAGATGGCGACGAAAAACATAATAGCTTTTGAAATAAACTCTGCAACAATTTCTTACCCGTTCGCATTTTAAATGAATCCTTCTAAATAATTTTTATCACAATAGTGTGGAGAAAAGATTTATTATTTTTCATGGTCAGCTAATAATTTTTATTCATTAACAGGATATCTCACTTTGGACCTAAATCGGATTCCACGGGGAGCTAAGAATGCAGCATTATGTTCTTTGGACATGCTTAAAACTGATGGCAGTGTTCCCCACCTCTCCCTTTTCAAACAACACAGAGTAAAAGGATGGTGGCCTGTCATTGCTCCAAAATCCGATAAGATGGAACAGACGGTGAGAGTGATAAATTTATATGAAAAATTCATAGAATATTATTCATTCAAAACTATCTGAACCTAGATATGACTGGATGCCAGATTAAGCTTTCTTTGTAATCTTATGACTTATCTGATTTTAAACTTTTCGAAAAATTAATGGTAAGCTCTTCTAGATATTCCGATGTAATCTTAAGTTTGAAGTTAGTAGTTCTTTTTGTTTATCATTGTTTACTTAAAGTAGTTGTAGAGTTTTAAATTATATCGATGCAAGAACATAAAAATGTGCAAAGCCCTCACCGGGAGTCGAAATTCGGACCTCCCGAGTACGTTAGAATGAAAATAGAAGATTAAATAATTCTGTTTGCAAAATTCTTTTACAAATTCATATCCTGAATAATAAAAGCGTGGGCATCTAAATAACGAAATTTAATAATCAAATTGAATTTTCAAAAGCATTAGCCGCTGCCTTTGCAAATTTATCAATTTGTGCACCATGCTTTTCTTATTCTTGATATAAAATTATTGTTTCTATTAAGCTACAAGACAAATTAGTGTTCTCCTTTTAGTTAGTTCATTAATGATTTTATGAGTTTTAAATTAAAGCTTATTTTATAAAAACCTTCTTTTAAATGTCTTTATTCTGTGTTAGTTGAGTGAAACTATGACCTGAGCCTTATTGAAGTAATATTCAGTGCTAATGTTTATTTTTATAACAAGAAATATTAGTCATTTTCAGGCGAGATATTCCACGGGAAATGGTTGCCATGAAAAATTCCATTATATTCATAATTTTGGAGTAATAAAATGGTGCAATACACAACAGCGTTATGCTGAGACGGATTTATGAAGCCTGGAGCTTCAAGGAGCCCCAACATCAGTAATGAATTTTAAGACTCGGTTATACTATATATATATATATACGTATATTGTTACGAAATGTACAGGCGCGGTGAGATGGCTTCTCCGCAAAGAAGTTTTAGGGTTGCCATAAAATGGCAAGGGAAGGCAGGGTTGCAACATTTGGCGAGGAATCGCCCATTTGGCGACAAAATTGGCGATATGCCATGGACGGATGGAGAACCTTCTGAAACGAATTCTTAGCGGATTAGCCCAGAATGTTGTCCAACACAAGCGGAAAGCTATATAAACCCTGCTGGTCCGCAGTCAGTTAGTATCGAGAGTGTGTGCCTCGCATAGAGTGCGAGATAGTTAGTATCGAGTTGGTGTCTCGTCTAGCGACTCAATCCCTGCGGAGTCCATGGAGTTGACAGCCGGGCAGCGAGTGCCGAGTGGGTCGTCGAATTCAACGAAGGAGTCTCTTAGTGTATCACGGTTAGTACATCGTCGAGAGAGAGTGTTGAACCGAACCCAAGAGTCGGGAGCTATGCTCGTGTGTCGTCGAGTGCATCGCGAGTTGTAACGTGGAGAGTCTCGAGAGTACGTGGAGTTCCGAGAACGACCAAGCAGAGACAGGAGCTGTACTCTGGTGCTTTGCAGGAAGCTGTCTCTACCGTTATTGCCTGACAGTGTGAAAGCTGTGTCGCTGAACGTGTCAGCTTGTTTATAACAGTTCGACGACTGTAAAAGTGACTTTGGAGCTGTCCTGATTAATATTGGCTAAATAAAGTGTGTTTCGATACTTCATCAAGTGTCGTCGTTATTTACTCCAAATCTACGAACCCCGTACGAACGTAAAGGAAGAAAATAAAGTAACAACTGGTGTCAGAAAAGAAAAAAGCTGCTATATATATATATACACTGGTGTGCAAAAATTAAGGACGAAGTCGAAAAATTAGCATATCAGCTGAACGAAGAGGCAGAGCGGACAGAAAGACCAATCAGGAGATTAAGTAAGGTGATGTACGGTAGCACATGCGCAGATATGCAGGTAGACGTAATGGGGGAGTGTCTGAGTAGTATAAAGCATGTTGTCGGTGTAATCAGTATTTCTTGCAAAGAGATTGCGGCTCCGTATAGCAGTTAAAATCACACCGAGTTGCTGCCTCAGCGAGAAATGGCGAATAATCAATCTGTTAGACGACATCTGGATGCATTTACCCGAGGTCGAAATCATTGGGAAGGAAGTTGGAGGAAGGCCGCAGTGTAACAAGTGTGGCTGTAGAGTTCGGAATTGCTCACAGCATCGTTTCACGACTTTGGAGACAATTTCAAACTACAGGAACAGCTATCCGGGGGTTTAGTAGTGGTCGTCCACGAGGAGCCACACCCGCAGATGACCGGTATATTGCCTTACAGGCCAGAAGAAACAGGCGGCAGACAGCGGGAGAAATCGCTAGACACACGACACTGGCGACTGGACGACAGATATCGCGTTTTACCGTGGCCAGAAGACTGCACGGTGGTGGTCTGTTTGCACGACGCCCTGTACGGTGTGTACGTCTAACGCCTGCCCATCGGAGAAGGCGTTCTCTGTGGTGCCGGGAACACCGGAATTGGATAGACAATGAATGGGGACAAGTACTCTTTACAGATGAGATCAGATTCAGTCTCAGTAGCGATTCTCATCGCATACTCATCTGGAGAGAGCGGGGAAGCCGCAATCATCCCTCGAACATCATTGAAATGGACAGGTATGGAGGTGGCGGTGTTCTCGTTTGGGGAGGCATCATGCTTGGTAGTCGTACAGACCTTCACATCTTCGACGCAGGTTCAGTCAACGGACCCGTTATTGTAACGAGATTCTTCTTCCATATGTGCGTCTTTTTAGAGGCGCTATGGGTCCGCAGTTCCTTTTCATGGATGACAATGCACCATGTCATCGCACAGTAGCTGCCGAACAGCTCTTAGAGAGTGAGGATATTGAACATATGGATTGGCCGGCACGATCTCCGGATCTCAATCCCCTCGAGCATGTATGGGATTTTCTAGGAAGACGCTTGGCAGCTCGTACCTTACCACCAGTAACGATTCCGGAGCTTCGATAGGCGCTGCAAGACGAATGGGGACCAATGCCTCAACAACCCATTGACACCCTCATTCTCAGCATGGGCAGACGCTGTGAAACCTGCCTAGCAGTCAGGGGAGATCATATCCCCTATTAAAGACCGGATGTTTCTTGCTGGACACCCATCACAGGGATGTTTCGGCCTTCAGTCGCATTGCGCTTCATGCTACTTTTCAATAAAGCTCCTTTTTATCCCTCTAATTTCTCTTTTAGTAAGTGTTGCTTACATTACTCATGTCTTTACGTATTGGGAATCTTACGGTATTAAATGTGTTGATTTAGAAAGCTTTTGTACAAAGTTATATTGAAGAAACCGTCTCGTCCTTAATTTTTGCACACCAGTGTATATATATATATATATATAATGTTGTATCATCTTCAATTCTCTAAGTTCGTAAACAAGTTATTCTAATACTTGCGCAATAGCTGCAAAGTAAGATAATAATAATTTATTTTCTAAAGAAATATTGATTATATTTCTCCTAATATTAATTTTAGTAAAAGTATCTAAAAAGAGGGAACCCATAGGTAGGATATTTAATTCCGAAAATTGTTTTTAAAGTAACTTGAATGTATTATTATGAACTAGAACACAAAGTAATTGAAAAAAAAACATTAGAAAATTAAGAAATATAATGCAATATTTGCAAAAACAAATCAAATAATAAAAATTGAAAATTAATATATATATAATAAGAAAACGGAATGTACATGGAGATATAAAAGGCCAGAAAAAACATTAATTAACTTACGTTCTTTCTAGTGGAATGTGAGCAAAGTATTTTCTTCCGCGTCTTACTCAGAAGGGTTGTGTGTCCAAAATTCTTTATCGGCTGCGGGGGCTTATGAATTATTTCAGGCGGCGAAACTTGTGAGAAGTAATTTATGGGATAAGGGAGGGACTAGGAATGCTTGAGGGACGTTTGTTGTGTTCTTATGTGAAGGAAAACGTCTGTTAAAATTTTGAATATACTAGTGAATGGGAATTAATTAATTTATGGCTAATTGTCGTGTCGGAACTAGGTAGAAATAAGGAAAAGGAAAAAAGTAATTTTCACTGTCAAAGAGACTAAAGATTATGAAATAGACCCATTTTTTAGTAACAGCATAAGAGAAGTCTGACAACAATTAGCTTTTTACATTATATACAGCATTGCAATTACACTATGTACAAATCCTTCAACTGATAGTCATCCAACTTATACCCGCCTTCTCAGGTTTAGGAACAAATTATCATTTCCCTATCAGTTAAATGATTTAGAGGGAGTATTTAACGCCTGCTCTTTTAAGGCTGTGGTTAATAAATTGATTAGGTATTAGATTATTTTTGAGAATTTTAATAAGGAGCAAAATTTCGCGTTGTAGATCTATCGTATTTGTGCAAATATTTTTAATACGTTGTATTTGATTTATTATTGTATTGCTAATTACTTTTTTGGAGATGTTGGAATACCAATTTGTTAATTTGTTAGTACTGAAACTAAAGTTTCTTGTTTTGTAAAAGAGTAAAATTTTTTTGTAGTTAATGATTCGAAGATCGAGGTAGTCTATGTTATTTTGCGAAAGTGTAAGGCAATTTGGATAAATCTCGGAGTATTCAGTCTTATTAAAATTATTAAATGTAATAAGATCATCTATATATATCTGTAAGTGTGCTTGTAGTAATTTAATTCTTGCTGTTGTAAAATTTTTTGGAAGTTAAATTCTTTGAGAAATAAAAAGATATTACAGATCGAGGTACTGAAATGGGAGCCCATTGGAAGACTTCTGATTTGTTTAAAAAGTTGATTTTGAAATTTAATGTAGTTATGAAAAAGTGTGCATTTTAGGTAGGTTTTCCATTTACTAAGATTCATAATTGTGAGCATATCAGGGAAGAGTTTAGGCAGATTTAGTAGACTAGTATAAATTTCTTCTAAAGGAAGTGAGGTACATAAATTTTCAAAGTCATAGCAGTTAATGTTTTTGTATGTCAATTGTTGGAATGGTATTAATGACAGGAGTGTTATTATGGATGATCCAGAAATAGTTATGATTAGTGTTACAATCGTTGAAAATAAATTAAAAATTTTTTAAGTTGAATTGAAAAATAATAGTCTACATTTTTCTTGTAGTTATTAGTTCCATTTGCTATAAATCTGAATTTTAATGGTGTTTTATGGAATTTGGGAAGTGCATAGAGGTTAGTAAATCTGTTATAGCTTGGATTGAAAGTGATATTTAGTTTTTTTATGAAAAGTTTTAATTCTGTTTATTATAGATGTTTCTGTAAGGTTTGCTAATTGATAAGTAGTTGCTTTGAAAAGTTCTTTATGAATAATTTCTGCGTAGAATTGTTTTCATATAATGCTAAAGTTATTATTTGCTTTATCTATTTTTATAATAGTAAAAAGTTTTTTTTTAAATTTTCAATATCTGTTAGAAGTTGTGACCAATTCAATGTACTTTTAAACTTGAGGTGATTGATTTTGGTGGACATGCGTTGAAGTATTTCATCTTTCCATTTTAAAAAGGTATCCATAGGTAAATTCAGTTGATAGCTTGCTTTAATAATAAATTCGTTGATGCTGTTTTCGAAAATCTTGTTACAGTAATTTTTATTTATGTGTCTGACTGGTCTAAATTTTGCACCATAACTCATTAGTGTTTTTAGTTGATCGTTTTGTATGATATTCAGGTTGCCAGTAATTATGTGTTGGTGATGAGAATCTACGTAAGTACTGTAAACTAGTGATTTGCAATGTCATTCTACTGACTCATCTATTTCATGGTGGTTAGTTAGCAAGTTACTTAAGGTCTTTTGATATTTAAATGCAACTATTGGTATGGTGTCTACAGCTGGGAAGTAAACTTTACAATCGTTGAAGATTCTAGAGATTCGAATATTGTCAAACTGCGGATGCAGAAAATGAACTTTAAAATAAATTTTGCGTTAAGCCAAACAATTAGAAAGTCTGAATTTACAAAAATCGAGAACCATGTCTTTAATAATTTGTATTTCGTCGTAGTTTTCATGAATGAATTTTTTTAGTTTTATAAGGAATTTATTAGTACAAGAGTGTAACCAGTTGAGCTAAATTCAAAGGTATTTGGTTTTTTGGGGGTCTTTGTGTAAAATGAGTTCTAAATTTCTTAATTTTTATCTATACTGATCAATTTTCAACAGCATATTGCGCGAAAATACTTTGAATCATTATGTTTTTAATAAAAAAACATTTTGTAGTACTATACATATATATATGAGTCGGGCAGAGTAAGTGTGCTTGTATATATACACACTCGGTCAGCTCAGTTTTTTTATTCTTATATTTATGTAAATTGAGCATTTTTTGCTTCCGGTTAACGTTTTTATGCCTTTAGTTAATCTGCATGCGATAGTTGTAAGATTACCAACAATTTAAAAGTTGTTAAAATGCAACTAAGACTAATGAAGCCGCTATTTGTTTACGTATGAAACCTTTAGTATAATAGTGAATCAAGTTTCTGCGCCAACTTCAATGTCGTTTTGCCGAGTGGGGCCAAAAGCAAACTTTCAGTTTTGTGCACCGAAAAATCTGTCTTCCCTGCATGCTGGTCGAATTGCTTGTTTTTGCGTGGAAACTGTAATTTTAGTTGTAAAAACATTTTTTCAACTGTATTTGGTGTTTTATGTTTGGTTGATCTTTACAATATGGTAACTGGTAGTTTGGCGACATTTTGGAGGCGATAAAGGTTACTACCTGGGACTTTGGTAATAATGTGAGCAGTACTCAGTTCCGATTACGCATTATTTTGTGTGAGGGAAATGAGAGATCATGGGATATGTCATGTGATATTAATGGACGAATTACGGTTCTTTAATCGGAAAAGGGGGGAAATCGGGAAAAAATCTGGAAATTTTGTATTTGGTTTATTCTGTGTTGTGTGAAACAGTGTTCGTGAATTTTTGGATCCCATGGCCGTAACTAAAGAAAAGTTTATCGGACACGTAATCAAGATTCTGAAAAAGATGAGGTAAGTTAGTATTTTTAATTATTTGAGGATATTATTTTTATGCATTGCTCTAAATGTAAGGTGGAAGTAAAGGAATTTGGTATTATTGGGAAAATTGTTATTAGCAATGATTTAGTTTAAAGTAATTAGGATTGTGAGGTAATTTTTATTAATTTAATGTATGTGCTCATTTATATTTTAAGTAGTGTTTTTGAATTTAATTATATTTTAAGTAAATGATAGTTATTTTGTGAATTTTATGTTTGTAGGAATTTGGTATACGTTTAAGTTGAAATAAACGTGCATGGAAATAATTTAAATATTTGATACTAAGTATTTGTAATGCTTGCGGTATGAATTCGTTGGTGACGTGTATAATGTAATAGATGATTTAGAGGTAAAAGTTTTTGGATATTTTATTTATTTTATATGTGGAAATGTTCATATTTGTAAAGGGTAAATACTTTTTCGCGATCAGGTAATTTCATATATGTTCTTTTTACCGGGTTTAAAGATTGAGAAAATTGTCATGTATTTTCGTGAGATTTTTCTAATTTATGAGAAAAAAGCAGTGTACATGGATATAGTGAAGAGTGTGCGCAATGCCATTTTTGTGCTATTCTGGGATGTTTTTTTAAGTAAAAATAAGTCGACGTGTGCATGGTTTAGTGATATTTTAATTAAATTATAGTTATTTTGTGAATTTTATGTTTGTAGGAATTTGGTATATGTTTAAGTTGAAATAAATGTGCATGGAAATAATTTAAATATTTGATACTAAGTATTTGTAATGCTTGCGGTATGAATTCGTTGGTGACGTGTATAATGTAATAGATGATTTAGAGGTAAAAGTTTTTGGATATTTTATTTATTTTATATGTGGAAATGTTCATATTTGTAAAGGGTAAATACTTTTTCGCGATCAGGTAATTTCATATATGTTCTTTTTACCGGGTTTAAAGATTGAGAAAATTGTCATGTATTTTCGTGAAATTTTTCTAATTTATCAGAAAAAAGCAGTGTACATGGATATAGTGAAGAGTGTGCGCAATGCCATTTTTGTGCAATTCTGGGATTCTGGGGTTTTTTTAAGTAAAAATAAGTCGGCGTGTACATGGTTTATGTGTATGTGTTATTTTGAAAAACGCGTAAGGAGTATGGTATTGTGCACTTTTTCCCAATTTTGCAGTGAATATTTGTCATGATTAAGGAGTTTTGTTAGATAAAATTTCTAGCATAAGTGTAATTCGGCTAGTAGATTGTTAGAAGAAGTGTTCAGTAGATAAAAAGAAAAGAAACATGTCTTTACTTCGTGAAGACAAAATGGCGGCGGGAAAAAAAATAGAGGGTTGCTGTAGGAGAGTTGGTCGCCAAATTTTCGCCAAAAAATCGCCAAGTTACCATAATGTAAAGATCAACCTTATGTTTTTCTGAATTTTACAATTTTTAATGAAAATGTTTTAATTCTATTTTTTGTTTTTATTTTATTACTATTATTTATATTTTTAAAATTTTATTATTATTATTGGCCTTGCCGCGAAGTAAGAACTGAACTGATTGAATGAGAATTATATCTCTAATGAAATTCGAGGAAATAAGTTTAAATGTAATGCAGCAAAAAATGTGTAATTTAATAGGCTCTACGAAGAAGTCATGTGGTGTCTACATCAGATTTTTATAATACATATTTGGAACAGCCACCTCCCGGTTAACGTGGAGACGTTTAACTGGACTGTGGATAAACGGGGCCCCATCTTAAAAACTAAACTGCTTAATGGACAGCGGGGCATCATTTATCTTTTGTATTGCCATTTATAACTTTAGTGTCTTCATTCTAAAGCTGTTTATTCTTCCCTTGTTTAATTTTGTTTCGAGTATTTATTTAATTTACGTAACTACTAAATGAACTTATTTTCTAAATCACACTTCTTGAAAATACAGTTATGTTGTTAATATTATTTTTCTGTAAATTATTATATGATATACTATTCCTCTTTCTTGTGTTTTTTAACTGCCAGCAGAATTACGGTAAATGTCGTCGCCGTTATTATCTCAGCTAATCACAAATTGGCTGCCTTGATTTTACTGATATTTTTCTAAATTTTTTTCCCATTTTTTTTTTAAGGGAAAAGTAGAAATTGAGCTTCATCTTCTAACTAAAGAAGAAGCTGAGAAATTTCCAGCAGGTACTGGAAGGAAAGCTCCTGATCCTCTTCAAGAACCTAAGTAGGTTATAATGATTGATTGATTAAGAAATGACTAGATCCAAAAAAATCACTTTCAGTTATTAATAAAACAAAATTTCATTTATTTGAAAGTAAATTACAAAAGGAAAAGAAATAGATACAACTCAAAATTATGCTCAGATTTTTCTCACCATCACATCACTTCTTCGAGACTTTCAGTGTCCATTGAAAATCTCTAAAATAACGCAACAGGTAGGTAGAATGTGTCATCGGTCATCGGTAAAGCTTTGTGTGGTCACTTTGTAAAGCATAAAATATATATGTTTCAAATTTAATCAAAAACCTTGGCGACGAAAAAGAAGTGTGTTATCGCTTGGGTAAACACTGTTCGTCTTTCGAATTTGGTAAACAAACTCAACGATTACTGCGCGAATTAAAATATTTTTATCTTCCACTCGACAGTGTGTTGTCTTTAAGCAAAGCGTAATATTTATTTTTTAATTTATCCTCTTATTAATTAACAAACTAAGTAATTTAAAAGCAATAAACTCAGATTCATTTCAATTATTATTAATCACTAAACAGATCTTTATACGAATCTACACTTTTACTCAGATATTGACGAAATGTTCCACACTTGACCTTCAAAGCAAGAGGAAGATTCAACTTTTACATAATATTTCGAAAAACCACCCTCACGAGGTCCACACTCTGTTCATTTATATTAGATCTTTGCGTTCCCGTCACCCATTTTAGTTCACGCACTCTTTGTTGCATCCTGCTGTCAATGATTGTCATGCATGCTAAGCGTAGAATTCATAATTGTGCTATTATATAAAAAATATTAATATTTCTGTGCAGTTTCAATTTTAAAATCACGTCATCCATCTTACGTTCACGTCACCATTTTTGCATTCCCGCTATCAGTTCTTACTAAAAAAACAGTTAGAGGGTGGTGTGTTCATTTGTTCTTTAAAGCAGAATTTAAGTGCGCTGTGTATCGTTTTTTTCGCAAATATTTCGAAAAAAGAAAGAAATCGGTCAAAGTGGACAGGGATTTTTCCTAAAACTCATTTCCGAAAAAAGGCATACCCAATAGCAAAGCAAATATCGGTTCTTACTAAAAACGTTGCATGGCGCCTTGTTAGTTATACACTGTTTTACAGTTTTATTCGAGCTTAATAAAATTTTGCGCGGTTCACATCGAACCAAAGTAAGCAGAAAATCACTGTTTACCTCAGATTTGATAAAACTACCTTCATCCGTCTAAACGAAGCCTCTTTACTTGGGATTAATCCCGGTCAACAACGAGTACGTCAGCTAGAAATTGTATAACGTTGTTCGGCATTACTGCCTTTTCCTCCAATACATAAAAAATATTGTGATGAATTATAAAAACATTATTATGAATATTATGATTTAAAGAAACAGTTCCATTTCTGCACTTATAGTTTATTACCTATGTTAATGCATGTACAACAATTTCCTATCTCTAAAACTTAGTCTTGTATTTACTATTTTGGTAATCATGCGTTAACGAAACTAAAGTCAAAAGATCAGTTATTAATTCACTGTAGAATTAGCACTGTATTATTATAGTTACATTCAATAAGTTATTTTAAAGCAAAATTAAAATGAAATTAATATTTTACGTTATTTCGTCTCAAAAGCATGCTTTAGATGTAACTGTGTTACATATAACCACATTATAATTTTCATGAGTATATTCTAGAACAGTAGTTCTCAAACATTTCAGCTCCATGCACTCCTCCTTCACCACTCCCAGAAGATCATTCCCCCCTGTTCCATAAACTTGAAAGATACGTGCATAAATTCATTTAAACGTTGACTATTTTTTTAACTTCTTTTAGAAATTAAAAAACAATAAATAAATAAGAAAACAAAGACAAAAAAAAAAAAAAAAAAAAAACTAAAAGCCTTGAGCTTTTATATTACTCCCAAATGGGCGTTTTTTCCCATTTACACATGCATACATATATCGATAGCCGTTTCGAGAGCATTTGGGCTACAAATCTTTAAAAACAGCATATCTTAAAAATTTCCAATAGACAGTCTTGCGCTCTTGAGATAAAAATGCTGTATTCCAGTGTTGCCACTGCTCGCTTTGAAATCGTTTAGTTTGTTAATCAAAAATTCTTTAATGTTTTACAGAATATGAAATAGGTAATAAAACATATTCGAAGCTCAAAATTTGGGCTTCCAGGTGCCCATACTCGGTTTGGAGGAGTACGTTATTCAAAATTTGATGGCCCTAGGTACCGTTGTTTTATCACTTGCAAACATTTATGCATATTATTCATTATTCAATTTCTTTAAATATAATACAGAGCGATAATATTTGGTGGCAACAATGTGTAAAGTCATTTAGTGAATTTATGGTTGGACTTTATTTCTGTTGGATGGTTAAATATTTTGGTTTGCCAATTTTGCGTCACTATTCGCTAAAAACATTTTTGCCGTTATGTCAGTACATGCGTACTGAGTTTTATACTAGGAGATCCAAAAGTCTCCCAGAAATTCCAAAATAATTATTAATGTCTATGGATGGCACCCATTGAAACCTGGCAAAAACTCATCTCCAACTTGCACCAAACAAGCAGTTTTTATAACTAACAGCATAAATACTAGCTGAAGTTTCAGTTCGTATATTACTTATAATAGTATATGGATGTCATCTATTGAAACAATTTGCCATTAATATCCATTTTGAAATTTCCGCAATACAGAAAGTTTAATATGAGCGACGTTTTGTTCACCTTGTATAAGAATCATAGTGATTAATTCTGAAATAATGCAATTCAGGAAAATTTATTACTATTCTAAAGTGCCGCCGAAACGGGCTAGTGACTCTGACTACCGTACCTAAGGCCCAAGTTCAAATCCCGGAGAAGGCATGTGTGTTTGTAAATGTAGAGTGACTTAGTGTCATGGGGATGGCTAGCTGAAAGTCCACTCGTGTGGATTTTTGGTAGGGAAAGAGGGGTAGAAAACCTCGCCCCTCACCCGGAATCTCTCGCTCAAAACTGGGGGTGGAACTGGACGAAATCATACCTTCACCTATATGGTGCCAAGCTCTTGCCACCGACAGGCGTAATCTTGTACTCTTTGCCGCGATGAATTTCGCCGGCTTGTTCTGATGTCAAACAAGAGAGAACAAAAGTTTGCATATCCCTGGAGTTTTCTTCTTTTTTAATTTGTTTACTTCCTCTTCTATTTTAAAATAAATTGTTGTTGTTTGTTCTGATGTCAAACAAACAACAACACTATTTTAAAGTAAAAGAGGAAGTAAACAAATTAAAAAGAAAACTCCAGAACAGGGATGGGCAAACGTTTTCGGTCGTCGGCCAAACATAGAAAAAAAAAAAAAAAAAAAAAAAAAAAAAAATTTGGCGGGCCAAGAATAAATTTTTCTAAAATCTTAAAAACAATATACAAGTATTACAATTTAAATATGTTAATGAGATGAATGAAATTGAGATTTCGTTTTTAAAAATTCCTTATATCGAGGTTCGAAGTGAGATGTACTGATTCTAAGGAACGAGGCTAAATACTCATCTGGCCAGTCTACTTCTGAAATCTTTCTAAGGTTCATTGTTGAAAACACTTGTTCACATATATTAAATGAAGCAAACATAGCACTGATTTTCTGGGCGTGAGGTATTAAATTTGAGAAACTTACTTCCGATAATGATATGTAAAACTCTAACTTTGGCATATTTAGAAACAACTGTTTGAGATGATTGTTAGATTGCAACTTAATTAATTCAAGCTGCAAATCTGACCTCACTGCTTCACATTTTACGTTGAAAGGCATAGTAAAAATATACATTTCTGTTTGAATGGCACTGAAAGCTTGAAATCTGCGTTCGAACACAAAATTCAGTTTTCTCAAGCCATCTTCATAATTCTTAAACTTCTCTTCATTTACTGAGAGTCTTGGATTTAATCTCGGGAAATGAAAAAGTCGTTCTTAGCTAGTTGCGCAGCAAACAGATTAAGTTTTAGTTTAAAAGCTTTGAGATGGGCCCATATATCATCGGTAAGTTTATTTTTCCCTTGCATCTTGACATTCAAGTTGCTCATATGACAAAGAAGATCTGTGAAAAATGCAAAGTCTGAAAGCCATTCTGTGTCTTCTAACATTTCGCACTCCGCAGAACACTTTTTTTCATGGAAGAACGACACAGTGTCGTCTTTCAGCTGCCACCACTCGCTCGAAAACACACGCTGCACTAAGCCACCTTACTTTCGTGTAATACAGTACATCAGAGTATTCAGATTGCACGGACTGAAGAAAACCTCGAAATTGCCTGTGAGTGCCGCTTTTAACACTTTACGGATTGAAAGCTATCTGTATTTGCTATTTCCGTTTATTTATGTTTTGCAAAACAAAAATAGAGAAAGTAAAAAGATCCTCAGAGTTTTGAAAAAAAGTAATCAAAAATAATATTTAAACAAAGTAGAAGAGGAGATGGATGTATAATATATAAATATATATTTTCTTTTAAATTTGCCTCGGACCGGAAAATTAAAATTCTATCCGCAAGCCGGATAGAACCTTCCGGCGGGCCGGCGTTGGCCCATCCCTGCTCCAGGAGCTATTACAAATTTAAGTTAAAATTTTATCTCCCTCCTTCCTTATACCTACTCTTTACATTCATTTAAACAGTGGTTAGCTGAATATCTTTCCCTAATAATATAACTAAAAGGAAATATTTAATTGTTTATACTAATGACATCCAGTTTCTATCATCAAATTCTAATGTTAGATTTCTTGTAATAATGATGCCGTTTATGTTTATTAGTTAATCACGCAAACATCACCCCATGAGTCGACTGTAAATACTGAGTTAAGACAGACAGTGGACCTATATGTGTCCCTGTTTCTCAGAAAAGTTCGAAGTATTGTATAGAAATCTATACAATTAACAGTATAATATCAAACTGCTTAATACATCCATTGATTTTTAGTCAGATAAATGTGTAATACGAGCAGCACATTTATTTTACTATTTCATA